AGTAGTCCAAAATAATGAAATGGCCATTTGCACCCACATTAGTCCTATTCCCCCTCAAAAAAATGGGTGCCATACTAACACTCAACTTGGTAATATCCCACCACATTTTAGGTGGGGGCAGCAAAAACAAGTGTGTAATTAGCAATTCCATAAATAAAAGTTTATTAGTAATAAGCTTAAGAATACCCCTTACCACCCTCCATGTCAATAAAATTTTGATGTCTTCATGTTAAACTCAGAAAAAATAACAGCAAAAACGTAAAATGATTGTAGTAGAGGGGGGGAGGGGAGGGGAGGGGAGGGGAATGATAAACTCACCAGGTCAAAGGTCCAATTTTTCTTAACGGTAACATCCTGAAAGCTCCAGTTGGTTAGATTCTATGTTAAAATTTTAAATAAAAAATACTAAGGTAAGAAAAACCTAAGAAAATACAACCAGAAACCTAGAGATCATTCCATAAATGCCAACAAGGAAGCAACTTGATGAAGAAACGTAAAAAAAAAAAAGGAAAAAAAAAAAAGAAAGAACAAGGGACTCAACAATTACCAAACATTTTACAAGTAAAATACGTGAAGAAAGGTGATAAATTTGCATCAAAGACAACGCCTGCTATAACCAAAAAGGAAATCGCACCATACCTGTTTTTCTTATACTGTGCATATAACACTCACATAACTTAGCTAGACTTAGTCTTTCTATTCACCACCAGAATGCCCCGCAATGAAATAAGTAACTACAAATAAAGAGACCGTATTTTTTTAAAGTTTGGTACATGTGACATCATGGAGAACTATCATCTAGATTCAAAAATTCATTTTTTTCCCACTGAAATAACTCGGCAACTGATTCAATACTTCCCATTCCCTCTTAACATAAAACAAAACAATAAAAAGATAAAGGAAGATTCAACTATTGACAAACAACTAATATCAGTAAACAATATTATATAACTTTTTCCATGCAGATATTATCCACAAAATAAAAACCAAAAAAAAAAAACTCTTTAGAGAAAGCCATGGATTAAAAATTCCATTCTAGAAAAAACTCACCAGCTTGAGATGGGGGAAGAGGCTTAGAAGGGAGCTTGGCCGGAGCTTGTTGAGAAGCAGGAGCTCCTGAAGTTGCAGGGGCCCCACCCTTTTTCCCATCACTCTTCTGTTGCTGCTGCTTTTGAGCAGCAGCGAGGAGAAGTGAAGGATCGTCGTTATCATCATCTCCAAGGAGATCGAAAGGGTTTGTGGACGCCATTTCTTAGAAAAAATGGAGCGTTTTCTTTGAGATAGGGCACAAATGGTCGAAACCCTAACCTAATTGCTCCGTAACTGGTTCTCCATTGGCAAGATTAGGGTTTTGGAGAAGGAACCGAAGCAAAGCAGAAGCTATGGCTTACACAGTGGAGAAAGAAAGGGAAGTGAGATAAAATACAAACCCTAGCCGCACCGTGTGCCAGTCCATATAGCAAAGACCTAATCCTCTTAGACATATTAAATTTGTTTTTTCTTTTGGATAAATGACTTGAAATACTCTTGTCCTTTTCGTAAGTACAATGTAGTCCTCATTCCTAATGCCTTATTGCATTTTTCTTTTTTTTTCTTTTTTTTATGTTTGAGGATTACCTTGAAAGGAAAATAATATGGTAGGGCGGCAGCCCTATCAAAATAAGTGACGCCTCCACTCATAATTCTTCAAAAATTACAATTCAAGCATTAGAAAAACTTTGCGTTAATCATCTCGGCTTGAACATTATAGTTGTAAAAAAAAAAAAAGGATTTTAAGTTTTTTAAATAATATATATTATAACAAATTATCTAGATCGACTATTTTACCCTAAAAATAAGTGCTCATAGATCTGCAAGATCTGTACTATTTTTTTAATTTCAAATTTTATTGTCGATGTTGGAAATTGATTTCGTATGCATCGTGAAGACTTTCATTGCTGAAAGTGCTTTATGAACAAAGATTTAAGGTGAAGCTTTATTTTGTTTTCATAAAACCTCGGGCATATAGAAACTTTATCCTTAATTGACTTTTTTTTTTCTTCCAAGTATTTAAATTTTTTTTTTTTTTTTTTAAGTAGTTCAGTAAGGGAACCCTTGCCTGTAGTAAGAGTGAAAATTAAAACTTTATATTATACTTCCCCGCCATTCAGACCACCTAAAGTAAATTGAAAGTTTCATTAATAAGACTCATATGTATAGTTTAGAGACCTGGCCAATCTAACCGAAATTTGTGCCCTACAACATATATTACAACCAGATAAAACAATCAAAATTGATCCATCTCCATCTTCTTTAGGTGATGTAGCCACTTCCACGATAGACTCTATTATTTTGGTACTGGCCCTCCTAGTTGCAAGATAAAAACTTCACAAAAGAAATGAGACAAATTATTGGGAATTAGGGGTGGCAATGGGTTGGAGACCTGGCCTGATCTAGCTAAGCTAGCCCTAAAAAACTAGAGGCTTGGCCCAAAAAATGTGACCTAAGGGCTGGGCCAAGGCCTGGCAATGCAACCCAAAGGTAGGGCAGCACTGAGCCTGATCCAATGCATGCATGATATGGCTTGGACCGGCCGTTTTTTTCTTTGTTTGTTTATTTATATTTTCAATGATTTTATATGGCCTTGCCCGGCCCTCAAATGGCAAACACTGGGACTTCCTGATCAGGCCCATGTAAGCCCTATTGGGAATCCTATGCTCTTTTTGTGCACCATTTGATGGTATTTAAAGGGTCACCTCAACAATGACCATCCCAAGATTTCTTGGTAGGATCTTTCATCCCTTGAAGTAGAGATCTTGACTCTACCTCAAGTGTCATATACACACCGCCTAAAAAAGTATTTCACTTCCGTGACTCAAACCCAAGTCAAATGGTTGTTATTGATCTGTCAGACTGCAACGTGCCTGTCCCATTAGCGATTAATGGCTTGATGAGAGTGATCATCCATGGATGAGGGAGTACACAGATCCCACATCCAGTACTCACTCTCTAGCCATGTGGCAATATGATATCTTCCATGGGATGCGGTTTGTATAGAGCCTAGGCTTTAAACAATCAAATTAGAGCTTACTTTCAAATAGTGTTGAAAAACACGGTTTCAATAGTGGAAATCTTTGTGATAGCGTTGAAATATATTTTTATCTTTATTTATAAAGTTTAAATATTAAAAAAAACTCTATGAAAACTTGAAAGCCATGAAAACTGATGGTCAAAATATGCGTTACAAAATACATCATTTCCAAAACTTGAAATCCATTTTTTTCTCACTTCCATGCATCTTAGTGTCAAGATGATCAATTTGAAGATATCTGGGCATCAAATCAACCTCTTCTAGTGAAACTTCTGAGATAGGCTCTAATTTGATTGTTTAGAGCCTCAGCTCTATATAAACTTTTCCCATCTTCCAGATTGTCGTGGATTCTTCATCTTGTTAATGGAAACAAATGTACAATTTATGGACTATAGATCTCCTTGTACTATAGGTAAATAGTATTTTATTGTATATTTTTTCCTTTTATGCAAATTTTTATCAAATCTCATGCTTCAATCAAATGGCAGAAAGTGAGCAAACAATAATGTCGCACGCCAACTATAAAGTTAGCAAATATATTTGGCACATTGTTTTTTTGGCTCTTTTAAAACCGACCAATCTAGATTGAATGATATGTAAATCATATTTTCAAGGAAGCTTAGAAAGGTTTCCCTTTTCTCATACATAATTGTTTTCTTCACTTTTCCCTATTTTAACTCCCTCCTATTATTGTTTTGCTTTTCCGCTTCTTCTTTTTTTTTTCTTTATTCCTTATGCTAATCTGGATTCTGGCCTTCAAAAAGGAATGGTTAGAAAGCCCACTTGCTTGGCAAGGTGAGCACTAGAGTGCACCAGAATGTGTTTTTAAAATTGTACCCGTATTAGTTCTTTGTGAGAATATAACTTCTTTAACAAATAGTGCTTTTCCTACCTGTATGAGTATCTTTACTCAATTATACGAGTGTTGGATTACTATATGCTAAGCCTAAGACCCTCGATCATGGAGACTTTCTTCTTAGGCCAAGGATAACCATGTGGGGACCCTTTTTCTCTAAAGTCTAATCAATTTTCAAAGTTCCTCACTACATTCCAATTGAAATTATGAGTTTGCTTGTATGGTCGACTGTGTATGGCTTATCACAAGTACAAATAATCTCAGCCGTTCATCATGCACATGGATATTGGATGCCCCTTGGGGTGGACAGTAAACTTTGTACCATAGTGCACTGTCGTAATTGTATAGTGTAATCACAATGGTACGATATACAACAATGTTATTTATTTTAAGCTACTGGATGTGAAATCAAAAGGTTGCAAGTATATAATTGGCCGGATTCAAAACCTAAAAAAATAATAATAATTGTGACATATCCCAAACTATCAACTTCCAAATATGACAGCTGAAAATGATTGTGATTAATGGCAACCTTGTACCAAACATAATGATATATAAATAAATAAACAAATGGCATTGTTGTATTTAATCGTTCCCCACTAAAAATACCTATTATTTCACATGTTTATGATATTTGGTCACTTGACGTTCATTTTATCATGTGTTCCTATAAGTAACGACGAGGAATGTGCAGGGCACATGGGCTGTTTTCTATTTTTTTTCAAACCTTTTTCCTTTGTTGAGGCCATATTAGGTCTACGATCAAATGCCTTTTTAAGTATAAATGTCTTGTCTTCTGCGTGAATCTCCTTGAATTGATAGACCTCAGATGGCCCCAATCAGTTTCTAAATGGGTGGAAATCGGTTGGGACCAAATCAGTTTCCAAATCATATGGTTCTCAACCCTGTTCCCCCCTTAAAAGGCCTTTTTTTTGTATTTTTTTTTAATCTTATCTACAATTTTTTTATGCATTTTTAAATTCCCACCCCATAAACTCTTATTTTAATTCTATTTTTTTATTTATTATAAATATTTTTATGAATTAACAATTCATACCTATCCAAACCGATGTGAATTACTATTTCAGCGACATGAGGTGAATCTTTGGGGTGAACAATCATCCCCACTAATCCAGGTTTTGAAATGATAAAAACTGGGATTGTGAGATGTATTTTTGCTTGGAGCTTCACCATTTACACCGATTTTTTGAATGTTCGAATCACCTATTCACAACTTATTGTAGTTTATATAATATAGAAGTAGACTAGTATGGTCACACACTTAGAATTAGACTATCGTTGTTACATAGAAATGGACTAGAACATGTACAATATACACCCGTGAGAGCACAAAATATACTGACTCCCGGACCAACGTACATGTATAGTTTTTATTTTAAAATTTGAGATTACCAAATAAGTAATTTTCAAACAAGAATAATATGGAGTTAAGCCTAAACATCTGGTCAATTATATGATATTGCTTTTTTCAGGCTGAGGTGGAGTGGTTTTTTTTTTTTTTTCCTTTCTTTCTCCTTCTCTCTTTTTCTTTTCTTTTTTTTTTTTATTATTTATTTATTTATTTTAGGGTGAGGGGTTTGAGGTCAGTCATTAGGCAAGAAGAAAGAAAAAACATTTTGTGTAGTTTTGACCTTGCTCTAATTATATAACTGAGACTGACATGTTGTTGATGAAGAACTGCCACCAAAAACCTAATCGTACAAGCCTAAGCATGTAGCGTGTTACTAATTTCTAGCTTGTTGGACTTTTGGGTCTGTCCCTTTAGTTGCAAGGATCTCCATGGTATTTTTTTTTTTATAATATTAGAGGTTAATAGATAAACACATATAGCAATTGTATTAATGGATTTTTAGAAGGTGGAGAGAAGAAAATAAATTTTATGAAACGACTCTCATTTGAGAACAGAATAGGTTAGAGAGAATATTATAAAAAATAAAAGTTTTATTTATTTTTTGATTAAAATTACTTCATAAGTAAAAGGCCCAAAAGGGGTTGATAGAGATGAAAACTATTTCGCATGAGGGAAAAAGTGCCAGGATCCCCATGGTATTTTTTATAATATTAGAGGTTAATAGAGAAACAAATATATCTATTATGTTAAGGACCCGGTTTTTATATGGCTAAGCCCATATAGAAATGCATGCCTCTTAATAAATCTATTTTTCAGATGAATTTTTAAGACTTATTTTTCAAAGACATGTAATATCTAATATGGAGATCATTAATATGAATAAATAAGTAAATTTTAAAAGTTAAAAATAATAATTCTAGTAAGAAAACATTTGAACCGTTAGTTTCTAATATTTTTAGATGGAACACCTACTTGCATCCCATCTTTCCGCCTTTAAGATGGATGCTTTATACTGTTTTCCTTATGTTAGAAATGCAGAAATGCACTTGACCTTGCATGAAACAATTTTCCTTATGTAGAAATGCACTTGACCTTGCAATGAACAATTTTCCTTATGTTAATGGATTCTTAGATGGTGGGGAGAAGAATAAAATAAATTATTTGAGACTGTTCTCATTTGAGAATAGAGTTTGTTGGAGAGAATATTATCAAAAATATTTTTTTTGCTACTTTTATATAAGATAACCTCATGTACATTTCTTGTAAAAGGGTTAAAAGTGGTTGATAGAGATGAAAAGTATTCCACATGAGGGAAAAAATAAAATATGAAACATGACTCTCCAAACATGGCTTCCTATTTCTTTAGAGCCTATGCCCCTCTCTCTCCCCCTCCCCCTCTGTATTTTTCACTAGTAATCACAAGTCTAACATGAACTTACCGCCAGTAGATATTCTACTCAGAACAAACATATGAATGGAACCATAGGCAAATCCCCAAAATGGCACCCATATTCGGAAGGCATGTAAGCTCTGTCGAATCCTCCTGGTTTTCTTTTTTGTATGTTTGTGTTATGTTAAGATTCACCCATAGAATCCAACAATTCTTACTCCTAGTTACTTTTCTGATGTATTTGTTCCTGTCCAAGCCTCACTTTGTCGTACAAGCACATTCACATTCTCAAACTACGCCATAGCCTTTTATCATGTCAGTTTTTAATTTCTTTACATACCTACACCCTTATGTAAAAAAGCTACTTGGGAGGATTTTCTCAATTTGAGATTTTAGGATTCTTGTAAGGATCTAGAGATGATTTATTTTTTTAAAATAATTAAATATTAATTCCTTCAGATCTCATTCTTCGAGGCTCTTTATTTAATAGTGAGACATTATATTTTCTCCAAGGACATAGAGAATGAGACATTATTTTTCTCCTCAAGGATATATAGAGCGTGGTTTAAAATTGGGTGGGGGTTTGTATTATTAGGATCAATTTAGAGTGACTACTAATATAGATTAATGCAAAATCAGATCAAAATATCTATTTGAACCTCATTTAAAAATATTATCAAACACTTCACATGTATAAATCCAATCACATAAGAAGTACAAGCAATAATCTATAACTAATAATTCCTCAAATCAACAAATGAAATTCCCAAATTGTTCTCATTTATTTCATGTTTTATCCTAGCTATTAATTATACCAAATGGGCAAATATGAATTATGGAATAAACTCACCAATTGGTCCAACTAATGCATATAGAGATTAATAACAATATAGAAAGTGTGAATTAATGGTAATGGGACATAAAATAAACTTAACAGGAGCTTGTCTTAGGGTAACCGTACGAGGGTTTTAGGTGCTCCCTTATGACCAAGATACTTCTAAAATCTGTAGAGAGAGGAATTTTGAGTGAAGAGAGACTATAGCACTATAGCTTTTTGTCCCAATCCATCTCCATTTAAGCCTCAAAATTCCAACAGGTAATATTTGGCAAGAGGGATGCATGCAAAATATATTATAATAAGTTTAAAGGCAAACAAAGTGTTTTAAGAAAACAATAAAATATGGAGAAAACTCATGCCAACATGTATAAGGTGCCCACCTTATACCATACAAGTTAGACGGACATCTAAATCTTATCGAAAGATGTACTTTCAATGTCAAAAACCTTACGATAACTTGAAAATCTACATTCAATCCTAACTGTAAAATTTTAAATTTTAAAAAGGTGCAAATCGAGTAGATCTATATACATTTGAAAATATTGAAAAATATATGGTCCATGTAGCTTATTATAAGATGCAATATTTTTAAGACTTAAATTCCATTTTTTTTCTTTATATTCATACTACATCTTGAGGTCAAGATGATAAATCGGAAGATTTTCTAACTGTGAAATACTCTTTTCTACTGGTTTTTTTAGGTACACCTTACTTCTTTAGTGTAAGGTGGCTACCTTATAAAATTTTTGTCCTTTCGTTTTTGTTTTTATTGTTTATGGGATGAGATTGTATACAATGAGACCATTTACTTTTAGTATAAGAAGGTCACAATTATTTATAACCAATCAATGTGAAATCTGATAGCTTGAGTTTGTCACAAAGTTCAAGAAATTTTATTTTGAACTTTGAGTTCGTCACAAAGTTCAAGAAATTTTATTTTGAACTTTGAGTTTGGTTAATGGAATAAATGCAGCCACCAAACTTTACACCCAATGATAAAGATTAATTATGATCACCTTGTAATAAAAATCGAGAAAGATTGCAAAAAACCCCAAGACTATACCTCTTATGCAACTTAACCCTAATCTAATTTTTTTTCTCACTTTTTCCCCCAAAATACATGTTTTATGCAAATACCCCCAACCAAAATAAAAATAAAAAATACCTAAACTACCATCCCACCAAAATAGGAGCTCTAGCAATGTGGTTTGGTAGTAGGGCTCCGATACTGTGTAAAGTGCAGTCTCGCAGTACGGCTCCGGCAATGTGTAAAATGCGGTGCGACAGTAGGGCTTCGACACTGGGTAAAGTGCAGTCTCGCAGTAGGGCTCCGGCAATGTGTAAAGTGCGGTGCGGCACTAGTTCTTATTGGATTATAGGGCTCCAACACTATGTAAAGGGTGGTCCAGCAATATTCAGTTTCGGTCCGGTAGTTGTCTTAGGGCGGTTCGGCACTTGTGTGCTCCGACAATGTGATGTTGGGCTCTGGAGGTCCAAAAGTCAACGTGAAATATGGCCAAAATGATTTTTGTATATAAGAAAGGTATTTTTGTCTAAAAAAATAAACTTTTTTATTAGAGGGCATTTGCATAGAAAGTTTGTTTTGAGGAGAAAAGTCAGAGAAGTTAGGTTGGGGTAAGTTGCATAAAAAGTGTGGCCTTAGTAGTTTTTTTGTAATTCTTTATAAATAAGTAAATAGTCTCGTTCTATACTTTCCTTTCAAGATATGCATCGAAGAAGTTACATTTTGAAAAATAGACCCTAAAATTGGTTCCCACATTTAGTAGTACTATCCCATGAGAGCATAAATTTTTTTGATTTCCGAGTGTTTTCACAAGCCCCATTTTGGACTTTGGACAACGAAAGGACTTATTTTTGTTCGAAACTCAACTTGGAAATTCATATACCTAGGGAGCATGGTTTATTTTTGCTCCCTCGGTCACATGATCTATTTAGAAGATTTTTTTTAATATGAAATTCTAGTAACTACTTATAATCACTTATGATTATTTTCAAAAAAAGGTTTTATTTATTTATTTTAAATTTGAGTTTTCTAACACAGATCTCAGCCTTTAAAAATTGAATGTTTCTATTCAATTTTGATATGTTATTTTTTCAAGTAATTAGAAGGTACAATTAGAAAATTTTAATGGAGGTTATCTCTTCGGAAAATTTGGGGTCTAGAATTAATTCAAAGTGGGGTTTCACCGGATACTTGAGAACGGCCACTTTGTGCATAGAAAGGCAAAGGTTACGACCTCACTCGGGGCCTGAAGAGGCAGGACCAACACCAGGTTAAGAGGTTTCACTGGATAGAGTAAATGAACAATATTAGTCCCGGGGAGTATAATAGCTTTTGGCAATTAAAAGACCCATTCGTGCTTTTTTTTCAAAACCAAACCCTTCACCAACGAGGCGACGACCACATTTCAACCGAGTGCGCAGGGTAGCTGAATAGAGAGAAGCATACGGGGACTCTATATAGAGAGAGAAGCAACCGGTGAGAGAGAGAAACAGGAAAAGAAAAGCTTTCAGTGGAGAGAGACGAAGAAAGAGAAGCTTTGTGCCGAGGGAGAGGAGCCATGGCTTTGAGAGCCGCTCGTGCGATTGCTCCCTTGACAAGGCTCTCACTGATCCGCAGTCACCACAGCACACAGAGACGGCTAATTGGAGCACTTGGTGGTGAGTAAAAAATGAGTTTTTGTATTCAAATCCTGATAACCATGTTCTTATATCTTCACTCAAGGGTCTCCATTTTACTGTGTCTAATTAACTCGTGCTTCTGATCAGAGGGCGTAGAAGAAGCTGCGTCCATGTTTGATTCTAAACCAAACTTCATCCATCCAACTTCTCTTGTGCACCCTAATGCAGTAATTGGACAGGTAATTCAAGCCCGAAATCTTGTTTTATTGAATAAAAGTTTCAACCTGATTCTTGTTATTGCTCTTTCCATTATGAACACACTAACACATGTATCTATGGTTTTTGCTTTCCATTGTTTTGTGTTGTCCATTATCCAACTTCTATGGTTTTGTTTTGTGTTGGGAACCTGGGTTTTCTCTGTTGCACTTTTGCTGAAACCCCCACTATAACAAATTCAATACCTTGAAATCAAATTGCCTTTCACCAGCAAATCGATTTTAAGAAATTCGGACATCCAAGAACTATATTTGGTGCAATAAATTTTGGAAAAATAAGAGGAAATCAAGAGAAGCAAAACAAGATCCAAAACCACAACAATGTGTTACAAAGTACAATGCAAGCGCTGTCAACACACATATACGTGGTTCACCCTAGTTGGGCTATATCTATGGGCAACGGGTAAGGAAACAATTTATTTATCGTGGAAAAATTACAAGATTAAGTAAATACAATGGTTACCTCAATTGGTAGAAAACCACTTATTCTGCTTTCCACTACCACCAAATAGCTATCAACCAACCTCCATTGATGAAGCAAATAGCTATCAACCAACCTCCATTGTTGACTCCATCACTGGTGGTCCACTTACAATGAAAAAGACTGATTAAAACCCCCAAAATAGGACACAATGGTAGTTAGAGTTTTGCCCAAAACCCCAATTTCAAGAACTCTCTTTCACAAGATCTACTCTCTTTCTTTATAAACTTGCGTATAGAGTCCCCACATAAAGGGATTCCAACAATGGCCATAAATGTCCTTGAAAATGACGAAAACATTATTAGTGGTATTTTGGATCACCTACCCAACAATGTATAACTTGATACAAAATAACAGCCTTGCCTTGCTAGTCATATCCAATTATTCTTTTATCGAAAAACCTAGAGAATTTCACCAACATCCAAGCTCTCTAGCCAAATAGTCTCCATGAGAAAGTATTGTTCATTTTACTTTGTGCTTATCCTTATCGTGCAAACTCCACCTTCTTCAACACTCTCAACCTTGAATTCGTGAGGCCATGCCACCTCTCTACATGCTTTAGATGTAAACCTTCTTGCACACATACAACCATTGCTTGATTTCATCCCAAGGAGATCCTTTGTATAAGTTGTTCCCGAAAAGCCTTGTACACACTCAAAATCTTTGCAATACTTGTCCATATTTCTCAATCTTCGAATTACCCATTTCACTTCATTCCAAAATTTCCTTCCTTCACCAATCACAAGCCAATCAAGAAAGCAAAAAACAAGTGAATGACAAATTCATACTAAACATGGCAATGATCAAAATCAACAGACCACACTAATCACATTGACCCTTCCTTTACCAAACTTTTAACATTGGTTCGAAGGAAATTTGAAAGAGTGATCCTGTTTCACTTCCTCTTGAGAAAACTCCAAAGCCTCACTTTCTCTTCCTTGCCAAAACCTTAATTTGCACCCTCAAGATCTTTTATTGCCCAACCATGTACTCCTTGAAGAGGTTTTTTTTTATCTAAGACCAAATTTACCTTTTCATTTACAATTGTGCTCCTGAACAATTTATACAAGTTTCTTTTTCAGACTCTCTTAATCACAACTAGAATCCCTTTTGAAACTTTGAGTACTACACCTTGCATGATAAATTTGTAACCTTCCATATCTAGAAAAGAAAGTGAAATCAATCTTTTCTTCAAATCCGACCCATGTCTCACAATTTCAAGAGTTCGAACCATTCCATCATACATCCTTATTCCAATTGTTCTACACTCATTGAATTGTTTATCATTGATGCCAAGCAACACTCAAATGGCTCATATGCATCAAACCACGATCTATGTGGGTATATACAATATGTGGCTTTACTATCAAAAACCCAAATTTGATGGTACAGATGATTATATCCCACCATTAATATCTCATCTTCTGATGTTCAACATAATTGGATGTTGATTCATCAACTTAGTGAGCTTCATTTTTAGCTTTATCTTGTTGTTCCATTTTTTAACTGGAACCCTTTGAGGAATTGACCCTCGTTGTTCCCCAACAGTTTTTCTTTGCGGTCGGTATTATCACAAAACCAATGACCTTTGTCATAAGGCCCCCTTGATTTCGATTGGTAGACTTGTCACTTGATGAATCTCTTGACAAACCACCCTATTCATCCAAGTGGCCTCCTTCTATAAGAATATCCATCCTTGAATCCTTGAATCCTTGGAACTTTCTATCTATTTATCCCCTCTTTCGAAGTCCTTGGGCAAGGAGAGCACTATAGACTGAATCCATTTTGAGGGATTCTTCGTAGTTACAACTCAAGGTACTAACAATGTTATCATAAGACTCTGGTAATGAACATAATAACATCATCGTCTTATCTTCCTCATCCATCTCGACCCCGATTCTCTCGAGTTGACAAATTCTGTTGTTAAATTCATTTAAGTGTTTTGACACTGTTATACTTTCATGAATCCTCAAATAATATAATTTTTTCAAGAACATTCAATTTTTTTAATATGTTTAAAGAAAATTAAATTTGTAAGGGATTTTGTTTGTTACAAGCTCTTTAGCTTTACCCATAAATCCACTGCTGTTTTTTTCCTACTATATTAAATAGTATTTCATTCACTAAACATAAGTGAATACTGGCGACGGCCTTCCTATCCAATTCTTCTCAATCATCATCCTCCATATTTTCTGGCTTTTTGGATTTTCCGTGCAATGCTTTATAAAAGCTTTGTTGTACTAATATATCATGAACTTTTAGTTTTCAAAGTTTCAAAAATCTTTCCTCCCATCAAACTTCTCTACTTCAAACATGTAACTAGTCATTTTCCTAAATATTTAGACGCTTCCCTTGGGCCTTTGATACCACTTGTTGGGAACCAAAACTTGGTTGACTGCTACTTTATTGTGGTGAATCCCCCACTACAAAAAATTCAATACCTCGAAACCAACCTACTTATCACTGGCAAATCGATTTCAAGAAATCCAAATATCCAAAAACTATATTTGGTGTAATAAATTTGAGAAAAATAAAAGAAAATCAAGAGAAGAAAAACAAGAAATACAAAACCGCAACAATATCCTACAAACTACAATCTAAGATTATTAAAAAAAAACTACAATCTAAGCACCACCAACACACATCTATGTGGTTCACCTTAATTGGGCTGCATTCGTAGGCAACCCATACGAAAACGATTTTGTTATCAATGAAGAATTACAAGATCGGGTAAATAAAAGGGTTACTTTCAATGTTCGAAAAAGTGTCAGGCGGCACCTAGGCGGCCGGGGGGGTCCAGGCTGCGTAGCTCCTGGGCAGGCGCCTAGAACCTAGGCGGCCTAGTAGAATAAAAAGTTGTTTTAAGGTCAGATTTTGTATAAAAAATTAAAAAATACATATTGATACATATTTTAGTCCATTATTCCATGCATTTCAAATTCAAATATCAAAGTTTTAAGTTTAAACTTTGAATCATTAGGCATAAGAGCATTAGACCATATCCACAGTCCATACTATAATCCAAACTCCATACACTCCATAGTCCATACAAAAACCCTCTAATAGACCTATAAAATCTCCAAACTAGGTCTAATCTCAATGGGTGATGTTTAGATTGATTCCTTGTAACTTTGAGAAACCATTCGATCCTATGGAAATCACAATAATCTAGTTTTTTGAAGTTTCTATCTCTCTAAAATGGGCTCTAATGGGGTTTAGGTTTGACGTGAACCTAAACCCCACTTTTTAGAATCTTTTTTTTTATCAAACCTCCAAAAAATGCCCCTTAATGGTAGAGATTTTCGCCCCTCGGCGGGTGCTGGTCTTGGGCGGCCACCTAGGGGCAGGTGCTTATTTTTACCGCCTAGGCTTGGGCGAGGTGCCCAGTCCCCCTGGACTGCCTAGGTGCTAGGTGGTCCGCCTTTTGGAACAATGGTTACCTCACAATTGGTAGCGAACCGCCAATTGTCTTTTCGATTACGACAGAAGAAGTATCGATCCAACCTCTATTGTCTGAGTCCATCACCATGGATCCGCCTACTATGGAAAACGCTGATGAAAACGCCCGAAATTGGGCACAACGATAGCTAAGGCTTTTCCCAAAACCCCAATCTTAACCTTTACGAATGCTCTTCCTCACAAGATCTACTCTCTCTTTCTCTCTACACAATGGCGTATAAAACCGTCACATAAAGTATTTTTACAATGACAGTAAACGCGTTTGACAATGAGAGAAACACTATTAGGAGTATTTTTTTTTCTAGTTTTTGGGTTTATTCATTTTCATTTTCTCCTTTTTATACTTATAAAAACCATCTATCTTTCTTTGATTCATTTTTAAGTGATTGTTGCCACTTTTTTCATTTGTTCATTAGGTGAATTGAGAACTCACAAGTATTATGAACAATGGAGTCAGCGCCTTCCTACCTCCTAGAGAGGTATATAACCAGAGTCATTATCCCGAATCTGAGACCCAAAGAGATGAGGCTTCGTCCTTGTTTCTTAGTTTTGCTTCTAGGAGTGGAATCGTATGTTAAAAAAGGTGGAGGCGGCCGCCTAGGCTGGCGCCCAAACACAAAGGCGCGCCCAAACGCAAAGGCGCGCCCAAACACAAAGGCGAGCGGTTTGTATCACTAAGGGAAGGGGTTGGGGTGGGGGCCGTATGTTTTGTGGGTATGTGTTTTGTAAATGTGTGTGTGTGTGTGCGTGTGCGTGTGCACGCGTGTGCATGCGTGTGCGTGAGGTCTCGCATGAAATTCTTAAAGTTTATTGTCTTTTTTTTCTTTTGGATCTATATTAGTGAGAGAGAGGTCTCGAACACTTGGAGGATATGTCGTGAGAGAGAGAGAGAGAGAGAGAGAGAGAGAGAGAGAGAGAGAGAGAGAGAGAGAGAGAGTAGAGAGAGAGTAGAGAGAGAGAGAGAGAGAGAGAGAGAGAGAGAGAGAGAGAGAGTAGAGAGAGAGAGAGAGAGAGAGAGAGAGAGAGAGA